GGGTTTAATATTTTTCCTAGAACTTTTTTTTTTTTTTTTTTTTTTTTTTTTTTTTTTTTTTTTTTTTTTTTTTAAAAAAAAAAAAAAAAAAAAAAAAAGCCCAATGGAAGCTGGGCCAGGGCTGTATGGATGCTATCGGGGGGAATTTGGCTGGAGCCTTTGCTTTTCTCACAGCTCCCTGGCGGCAGGAACGTGCGGCCGAGGAATGTGTGACCGAGGGCTGAGCCCCAACACAACTCACTCCACTAATGGCACCTCCTCGGTACCTCCACGGCTGCTGTTGCCCTGAAGGACTTATTTTTGGAGTGGTGAGGAGGTCAGACAGCGCTGCCGAGGCTCCTGTGGCCCTCTCACGGGTGGATTTCCAGGAAACACGCCTCAGCCATGAGGAATTTTTTGTAATCAACCATTGGTTCTCCCTTTTTAGCACCTTTTGAGTCCTTGGGCTGATTCCTGTCAAATTTCAGACCTCACAGATAGAAGTTTTTGAGCCTTTTGAAGGCTGGTCCCTGCAGGAGGGGGAAACCCGGGTGTCTGCGCCAAAGGGAAGCCAACAGCGTGTGCTCAGCAGCCCTCCCTGCCCTGAGCAGGGCTACCTGGTGGCCACCAGCCCCACGAGGGACAAACCGTGGGTGATGGGACACCAGGGGAAGCCCCAGCTGGGACCTGGGGAAGGAAAAGTTGAAGGTGCTGTGAAATTAAACGAGTCCTTAACAAATTAGGCTTCTTTTAAAGACCCATCTGCTGTTTTCTTGTACAACGGGCACTTGATTCCTTCTCTCCCCCTCCCTGTCTCCTGACAGAGGTAAAAGTGAGGTTATTTTTAGGTAAACGATGAAAAGACTCTACAGAGTTTTCCTTTGGTTTCATTTCTAGTGCTCTTTGACGATGTTTCCTCAGTGAGGACGTTGCTTCTCCGTTTCCAAAGGATGCATTCATTGTGTTCCCTGGATAATTTAACGCTCTGTCGCTCCGAATATTCTGCAAATAAGCCAAAGCTGGTCCTCCTCTCCACAAATTCAAGTGAAACAAATAGTAGAATTCATATTATTATTGATTATTGTTACTAGAACCAATTCTCAGCCTCCTTCCTTAAAGGGAGCACAGTTTTGAAAAGCCTCAGAGCGTTTAACTGGTTTTGTTTCTCCCCAGGATGCCGGGCAGAAGCATTTTGGGGCCATAGTCTGCAAGTCGTGCGGGATGATCTACACGGCAGGCAGCCCCGAGGACGAGGCCCAGCACATCCAGCACCACGAGAGGTTCCTGGAGGCTCTCCGCTACGTGGTGAGGCTGGAGGAGACAGGGGGCAGGGAGGGGAAAAAGAGGGGTGGGATGCTCTAGTGCCCAAGGTTATTGGTTTATGGTGAGGTGTTGAGTGTGGGGTTTAGTTGGTGGGTACGGTGTTTTTGGTGGGCGTTTGGTGTGGTGTGGTTTGTATTTGTTTGGTGTGTGTGTGTTGTTTTTTGTTGTTTTTTTTTGTGGTTGGACTCGATGATCTCAGAGGTCCCTTCCAACCACTAAGATTCTGTGATTCTGTGATAATCCAGGTAGAAAATGAGACAGTTTTGTCACCCTGGGGGTGGAATTTAAGCATTTCCAGCAACTCATCGGGTTGATGAAGGGGACTTTATTCCTCCAAGCTGGACTGGTTCACATTTCCAGCTTCATCTGCCAGACTCTTGGCTGAATCACTTCCTCTCTCTCGCTCCACCGCTAATTGGGTGTTTGTTTGGGTTTGTTTGGGGTTTTTTTTTCACCCACCTCCTCCCCCCACCTCTCTGTGGCAGGGTTGGAAGAAAGAACGGGTCGTGGCGGAGTTCTGGGATGGGAAAATTGTGCTGATTCTTCCAGATGACCCAAAATACGCCGTCAAGAAGGTACCTGTGTGTTTGGTTTGGGGGGTTCTATGGGAGAGGAGCTTTCTGCTGGCTCCACTCCCAGCCTGACCTCAGTCTGTGATCGGACATCGCTCCCCACCTCCCCAGGAGGGACCAGAAGGGTGGTGGCAGCAATTTGGGGTGGCTGGGGACACCCCCCCAACACATCCCAACCCTGCTCCGAAGCTCTTGTTTCTTCCATGACCAGCACAACCCAGTCCTTTCCATCCCGAGGACTGGGGTGAGGGATAAAGACACGAGGAGGGAGAAGACACTCTAGTTCTCTACAATTAGAGCCTGATGCTGCGTAAGCACAGGATGTTTTGAGGGAACAAGTCCCTTTTCTGAGAGTTTTCACACCAAATAGCATGCCTGTTAGTTCCTAACACACACCTCTCTCCCCTTTTCTTTTCTTATAGGCAGAAGACGTGCGGGAAATTGTAGATAATGAGCTGGGATTTAAGCAGGTGTCTCTGAGCTGCCCAGCCAAGGCTAAGATCTACTTGTTCGTGTCCAACGAGAAGATGATCGTTGGGTGCTTGGTGGCTGAATCAATCAAGCAGGTGGGTGTTATTAATTTTACAGGGAGGGGGGAGATATTGCAGGCTAATGGCTGGGGCTGTTTGTGTGGAGAGAGACCTGGGAGTCCTGGTGGATGACAGGTTGCCCATGGGCCAACCAAGAAGGCCAATGGTCTCCTGGGGGGTATTAAAAAGAGTGTGGCCAGCAGGTGGAGGAAGGCCATCCTCCCCCTCTGCTCTGCCCCGGGGAGGCCCCATCTGCAGCACTGGGACCAGTTCTGGGCTCCCCAGTTCCAGAAGGATCAGGGAACTGCTGGAGAGGGGACAGTGGAGGTTACAAAGATGATCAAGAGACTGGAGCATCTCTGCTGAGGAAAGGCTGAGGGACCTGGGGCTGTTCAGCTGGAGAAGAGCAGACTGAGAGGGGATCTCATCGATGCTGAGGACGAGCTAAAGGGTGGGTGGCAAGAGGATGGGGCCAGACTCTTCTCAGTGGTGCCCGGGGACAGGACGAGGGGCAACGGGCACCAACTGGGACATGGGGAAATTGCACCTCAAACCCCACCTGGACACACATTCCTTGTCATAGAATCATAGAATGGTTTGGGTTGGAAGGGACCTTAAAGATCATCTAGTTCCAACCCCCCTGCCCTGGGCAGGGACACCTCCCACCACACCAGGTTGCTCAAAGCCCCATCCAGCCTGGCCTTGAACCCCTCCAGGGATGGGGCATCCACGACCTCCCTGGGCAACCTGTTCCAGTGCCTCACCACCCTCACTGTAACCTAAATCTCCCCTCCACCAGCTTGTCCAACCTGCTCTGGGTGCTCTGGCAGAGGGTTGGCTGTGCTGATCTCTGTGATTCCCCTCCCCACAGGCTTTCCGGGTGCTGGCTGAGCCAGGAGCCACACTGTCCCCCGAGAAGGACCCTCTGCAGCACCAACGGCCCTGGCGCTGCTCCACGCAGCCAGAACCCGCCGTCTGTGGCATCAGCAGGATCTGGGTGTTCAGGCCCCGCCGAGGGAAGGGCATCGCCCGTCGCATGGTGGACGTGGTCAGGTAGGGAGGGGCAGGAGGGAAGCAAATTCCACCTCGGGATTGGCCTTTGGTGGGGGGGAAATACCATGATTGCGGCCAAAAGTAGTCAGAAGGAATTTAGGGCAAGGGATACATTTATATCTTTAAGCAAGTCTGAAATTCCCACTTCATAAATTCCGTGTATATCTAATATTTCAGTGATATTTTCATTTAAAATCTGACACAAGCGTGGGCCGAGCTGTTAACTGCTGGGTATAACTGGAACGCAGAGCTGCACGGCCTGGATTTTCCAAGAGAAACTGTCCCTGTTGAGGGAAAATACTGGGTTGTGGTTTTTGGTTGGATGGGCCCAAACACTTGAGCTTTTTTTTCCCAGGCGGGAAATTCCGAGCTTGAAAAGCTCAGACCAAACTGGGAGGAAGAGTTAAACTTCCCCTTGTCTGGGATATTTGTAGTTGATGGACCTGCAGTAGCACATGCAGGGGGTTTTAAATTAAAAGAGGGGAGATGGAGCTGAGCTGTGGGGAAGAACTTGTTTGGTGGGAGGGTGGTGAGAGCCTGGCCCAGGTTGCCCCGAGCAGCTGTGGCTGCCCCATCCCTGGAGGGGTTCAAGGGCAGGTTGGAGGGGGCTTGGAGCAACCTGGTGTGGTGGGAGGTGTCCCTGCCCAGGGCAGGGGGGGGCACTGGGGGGGCTTTGAGGTCCCTTCCCACCATTCTGTGAGTCTATGTATTTTTATGTATTTATAACCCTACATCACTGTACCTGGAGCTCAGTAGTCTGAAAGTTCAAGTGCTCGGTCTCCAGTTCCTCCTGTGGTTAGTGTTTGATGTGCCAGTAGATCTGCTACCTCTGGGCCACCTTCCAGACCCACAGGCCATGAGCCACCTGAACCTGGGTGACCTGTGGGTGCTCAGGAGAGTCCTGGTGCTGTCGTGGTGGACATCACTCCACTGCATTCTCTCCAACTCCCTGAAAGGAGGGTGTAGCCAGGGGGGGTCGGTCTCTTCTCCCAAGGAACAGGCCATGGGACAAGAGGAAACGGCCTCAAGTTGCCCCAGGGGAGGTTTAGGATGGAGATTGGGAGAAATTTCTCCATGGAAAGGGTTGTCAATCCTTGGCAGAGGCTGCCCAGGGCAGTGGTGGAGTCCCCATCCCTGGAGGGATCTCAAAGCTGGGCAGACGTGGTGCTGAGGGACATGGGTCAGTGGTGGGTTTGGCAGTGGTGGGTTGATGGTTGGACTCCATCATCTGAAAGCTCTTTTCCAACCTAGAAATAAGAGCTCCCTGCCGAGGGGGACACCCCTGGAGCCCCCCAACACTCTCTGTTCTCTCTTTCAGGAGCACCTTCATGTACGGCTGCGTCCTGAGCACCCAGGAGATCGCCTTCTCCGACCCCACGCCCGACGGCAAGCTCTTCGCCACCACCTACTGCCAGACCCCGAGCTTCCTTGTTTACAATTTCATTTCTAACAACTGATTCGGCTTGATTATTGCAAGTTGAGGTTTGTTTAAATAATCTAAAGTAATTTGATGTTTTAATTAACACTTGTTAAAGCGTTGTTACCCTCCCGAACGCTGTTCTCCTGCTGAGCGCTAATTCTTCCTCCCTTTCTTGGGGGGGGGGAAGAGTGTGTCACTTTGTGTACAGAGTTGTGTTGTGTTTGAGTGGAACCTGGCTTGGATTTCAGGTAGGTTTTGTTTTCTGCTGAGATAAAATTTTATGGCAAGTAACTTAATTTCTTTAAAAAGGTTTAATTAATATAAAGACGACTGGTTTTCCTCCCTGATGTGTGTTCCTCCCTCAATCTCTGCTGGGTGTCAAAAGGCAGAGTTGCTCAAGTTGTGCAACAAACAATTGCTGAGTTTCTGTAGAAGGTAAAAGATGTTTTAAAACGACTGATGTGTGGCAGGATTTCTGCCCCCTCGGTGGGTAAAACCTGTTGTGCTGCCTGGGGAAAGCTGCCCCCCTCAATAAAAGGTGTGAAAAGCTGCTTTTTTTTGAGGTGGTTTGTGCGCTCAGGAGATGGGGAAATGCTCCCAAAACTCCTGATTTTATTAAATTGTTCAGATGAGAAGGCAGTGGTGGCTGCTGAGGGGGAACAGGACAAATATGTGTCGCAACATCTCCGTCTCCAGCCAGCTGAGGGCAGGAATTTCCCAAACCACAGGGGTTTTTATTAAGTGCCTCAAAAGAGTGGGTTTTTTCTTCATCCTACATCCTTTTTACCATGGTATGATTCTGTGCAACACCCTGATGGGTCAGGAAACCTTTTCCTTGAGCCACCTCCCACTCCTTAAAAGGCAAGACCACCCCAATTTCACACTGAGATGAATACAAAATATTTATTTTTAACATCTCAGGCACAAATCACCTGTAAATTCAACACAAAGAGAGAGAAAAAGGTTTAAAAGCAGCTATAACACAACTCCATGGCACAAGTGGGGGAGCTCGGATGCTTTTATTCCTGGGCCAAACTTGCCTCCAAGGATTCCACGATGGTGGCGGCCGAGGGACGTTTTTTGGGGTCCTCACTGGTGCAGGCTATGAAGAGATCGATCATCTGTTGGTAGGATGAATCCAGTTCTTCCATGTTGAGAGCAGGGCGGGTTCCCAGGGCTGCATAAAAAGCTTCCTCATCAAAGTGGTCTTCATCAAAGGATTCGTCTGGAGAAGAAGGTGAAAAAGGTGGTGGGAAGGGTTGTGGTGATGGGGCTTTCATCCCTGGTGGCTCCTCATCCATCACAGGATGGTTTGGGTGGGAAGGGACCTTAAAGCCCCCCCAGTGCCACCCCCTGCCCTGGGCAGGGACACCCACCACCACACCAGGTTGCTCCAAGCCCCCTCCAACCTGCCCTTGAACCCCTCCAGGGATGGGGCAGCCACAGCTTCTCGGGCCAACCTGGGCCAGGCTCTCACCACCCTCCCACCAAACAAGTTCTTCCCCACAGCTCAGCTCCATCTCCCCTCTTGCAGGGTCCAACCCTTCCCCCTCCTCCTAGGGCTCCCCTCCCTCAGCCAGAGTCCCTCCCCAGCTTTCCTGGAGCCCCCCTTCTTGAGGGACTGGAAGGGGCTCCAAGGTCTCCCCGGAGCCTTCTCTTCTCCAGGCTGACCCCCCCAACTCTCTCAGCCCCCCCTCCCAGCAGAGGGGCTCCAGCCCTCCCAGCATCTCCGGGGCCTCCTCTGGCCCCGCTCCAACAGCTCCATGTCCTTCTGCTGGTGGTGGCCCCAGAGCTGGAGGCAGCACTGGGGGGGGTCTCCCCAGAGCGGAGCAGAGGGGTAGAACCCCCCCCTCCCCAGCACTCCCAAATCCTTCCAAGGGGTGTGGTGGGATGTCACCTTCACCTCAGCCTCACTTGTCTTTTGTTAGCACTAATTACTGCCTGGGCTACATCATTACTCTGACTTAAACAGCTTATTTTGAAGCTGTATCTAAGCCCCTTGTCCCGGCAGGATCACTCTGAGTCACCCTGCAGGGCTGGCTGGGACAAACCTCTCCAGCCAAGAGACAGGGAGAGCAGGAGGGTGAGGAAACTTCTCCCTGGCTGCCTGGAGACCGAGGGAGAAACACACAAACCTGGCTGTGGGGCTGTGCCAGGGGGAGGGCTGGGGCAAGGGGACTTCTCCCTCTGCAGCCTGTAGGATTTTTAGCTTTATATCGCCCCAGGGCACAGATCTGTGATCACCCCCCCTGGACCAAGCACTGGTGAGGCCCCACCTCGAGGGCTGGGTCCAGTTTTGGGCCCCTCACAACAAGAAAGACCTTGAGGGGCTGGAGTGTCTCCAGAAAAGGGCAACGGAGCTGGGGAGGGGTCTGGAGACCAAGGAGAAGGGGTCTGGAGAACTTCTGAGGAGCTGGGGGTGTTCAGCCTGGAGAAAAGGAGGCTGAGGGGAGACCTTCTCGCTCTCTCCAACTCCCTGAAAGGAGGGGGTAGCTTCAAATGACATCTCTTCTCCCAAGGAACAGGCCATGGGACAAGAGGAAACTGCCTCAAGTTGTGTCACCAGGGGGCGTTTAGGGTGAATATTGAGGAAAATTTCTTCCCTAAAAGGGTTGTCAATCCTTGGCAGAGGCTGCCCAGGGCAGTGGTGGAGTCCCCACCCCTGGAGGGATTGAAAAGCCGGGCAGACGTGGTGCTGAGGGACATGGGTCAGTGGTGGGTTTGGCAGTGCTGGGTTCACGGTTGGACTCCATCATCTGAAAGGTCCCTTCCAACCTGGACAATCCTATGATCCTATAACAAATCCCCACCTGGGTTCTTAGGAGGTGCCAAAAATATCTCAAAGAGCTTCCCCCTGTCAGAAGAACCCAGGTCCATCCCTGAGCACCCTTGCCCAGGGCACAGCCCCTTCCTTTTAGCTTCTCTTTGCCAAAAGGCTCAGCTGCCTCATTTTTGTGCACCATTTCAAACACAACATCATTTGCAGCTTTTTGGGCCCCATCACTTTGGTGGGATCTCAACAGCATCCAGGACACAGCCACGGCCTGGCAGGGACAGCAAGGGACAAGGGACAGAGCTGGGACACGGCTGAGGACACTTTGGGGCTCTCAGGGACATCTTTCAAGCCTCCTGAACCACGCTGACGAGCAGCAGAACTTCCAGAAGCTCTTTCCAACCGTCAGACCAGCAGCTGGAGCAGCCACAAAGAGCTCTGTTTCGCAGTGATTAATTACCATCCTTTATCAACTCCTCATGTGCAATTAAAAAGCTAAATGAAGCTGAAAGCAGCGAACGCCACCGAATGCAGAGTGAAAAGCCCTTCTAGGAGCAGCAGTTCCTCACCAACAAAGCCTAAGGACAAACCTTCGTCCTCGAGGTCATCGTCCAGGTTGAGGTGGGGCACGGAGAGGGTCATCATCTCCCAGAGGGTCAGCCCGAAGGCGAAGATGTCGGCCTTGTCGGTGATGACGCCGTTGTCCTCCAGAGCCTCCTTGGGCTTCCAGGGCTCGGTGCCCACGTAGCACAGCTCCGGGTTGCTCACTGGAAGGCAACAACGGGGCTGGGGTGGCTACTGGGACTTGCAGGCAACAGCAAGACACCATCTGTAGCTCAACCCTGCCATGAAGAGCTGAGAAACCACCCTCCTTTTATCCTTCCCCTGCTTGGTGGCAGGAAGGGGGGTGACAGGGCACCTTCCAACCCCAGGGGACAAAGCCAACCCCACCCCGAGGCTCCCTCAGCCTCCACCCCACGCTTCCTCTGATCCTTCTGCTTTCTTTTACTCCAGCCCAAACCAAGTTCTGGCCACTTTCTTCAATTTAACACCTCCTTGATGTTAATTAATTACCCTTGGGAGAGCCGCAACCCATCAGCGCTCAGCCCCGCCAAGGAAACACCAGCTCCAAGGAAACTCCATCCCTTCCACCCCTCTCCCAAGAGGAAGGTGCCACATTTCCCCCAGTTCTCCTTAAATTCCTGAGCTGTCAGCAAACCTCAGCTGCTCAAAAAAATTCCCTCCAAAGCCCAGCCCTGGAATGAGACCAAAACACCCAAATCCCTGAATGCATCCTGGGCTGTTGGGCTTTAATCCTTGGCTGCCACGCGCTGGAGACCCAGCCCCCTCGCTGGGTGCCCCTTGTCTCCACACAAGCCCCCAAAAATCAGGGCTGGGGAGGGGGTTTGTCCTGTTAAACCAGCCTCAAAATGGGTATTTGAAGCAGGCGGAGGGAGATTACACCAGGGCGCCGCCTCCGGCTCTCTCGCCCCTTATAAAAGGGAGCAGCCACTAATAAAAATGTAACGGAGCAGCTTTATAAATTACGAGGCTGTCGCAGGCCCAAACCCCCATGTAAAGCAGCAGAGAAAAAGCCTTCTCCTAATTAACCCAAACGCGTTCCTGCTGTTCGCAGCCAAGCCACCACCCCGTCAGCCATCTGCTTCTCGTTTACGTGACGGCTTTGTAACTCTTGCCTTTGGCTCCTGCTTCCTTCCAGCCCTACGAGGAAGATATGTTTGCTTAACCCTCTGGCAAGAAGGCCACCAGCATCCTGTGGCCAGCAGGACTGGGGCAGTGATGGTCCCCCTGGACTGGGCACTGGTGAGGCCCCACTTCGAGGGCTGGGTCCAGTTTTGGGCCCCTCACAATAAGGGGGTTGGAGGTGCTGGAGCGTGTCCAGAGAAAAGCAATGGAGCTGGTGAGGGGTCTGGAGACCAAGGAGAAGGGTCTGGAGAACTTCGGAGGAGCTGGGGGTGTTCAGCCTGGAGAAAAGGAGGCTGAGGGGAGACCTTCTGGCTCTCTACAACTCCCTGAAAGGAGGGTGTAGCTTCAAATGACATCTCTTCTCCCAAGGAACAGGAGATGGGACAAGAGGAAACAGCCTCAAGTTGCACCAGGGGAGATTTAGGATGGAGATTTGGGAAAATTTCTTCCCCAAAAATGTTGTGAAGCCTTGGCAGAGGCTGCCCAGGGCAGTGGTGGAGTCCCCATCCCTGGAGGGATTTCAAAGCCAGGCAGACGTGGTGCTGAGGGACATGGGTCAGTGGTGGGTTGGTCAGTGTTGGGTTGATGGTTGGACTCCATCATCTGAAAGGTCCCTCCCAACCCGTACAATTCCACGAACATCCAGACGTGGAAAGACATAAGACAGATGTCACAACTCTGGAAAATTTAAAGCTGGACCTTCTGGAGATCCCCCTCCACCCATGCATGGTCCAAACCCCCCACCAGCCCTTCCCTGTGAGGACGTGGGAGGGTGATGGTGCCAAACTGGGAGCTGCTCAGGTCCCCGGCCCGTCCACCCCACTCACCGGTCATGTTCTCATCCAGGGGCAGGGACATCCCCACGTCACAGATTTTGACAGTTTCAAAATCGCCTTTCACCACCACGTTGGAAGATTTGATATCACCGTGGAGCAGCTTCTTATCGTTGTGAAGATACTGAGAGGCAGAGAGGAGACATCCCGTTTGGGCAAGAAAACCCCCGATTCTTTCACGTTTTAACATATTTAACCCGAAAACTTCAAGGATGGGTCCATATCTACTTCAAGCCCTACAAAACACAAGGCAGGTTCTTCCCCCCAGCCTAATTTTGGAGGTTTTTGGTGAAATGCTGCGGGAGGTGGGTGGGAGGTGGCTGATGGCCAAGGACACAGCCACCACATTGTCCTCAGAGCGGCATCTCCTCGGCTGGGGCAGCCCATGCCCTGTGCCAAGGCTCAGAAACAGGGCTGGGGTTTAGACAGAGTCTCCATTTTCCTCCCTTTTTCCCTAAATTCAAGCTCAGCACGGTGAGAGGAGTCACTGCCAAGGGTGCCAGGGGCCAGCCTGGCTGGCTAGTGAGCAGGGACAGCAGGTAGCCCCAGGGGAGGGTGGCAGAACACCCGACAAAACCCGTTGCATCCCTTTTTATCTTACTTCAACCTCCAATTTTAGGGCTATTTTCACCCAAATCTGTACAATGCCCGGATACCCCGCAGCATCTTCTCCCCATGGCTCCTGGCCTCCTCAAACACCACCTTCATTTGTTTTTTCTACTGGGCACTGGTGAGGCCCCACCAGTGGCTGGGTCCAGTTTTGGGCCCCTCACATCCGTGACGGCTTTGTAACTCTTGCCTTTGGCTCCTGCTTCCTTCCAGCCCTACGAGGAAGATATGTTTGCTTAACCCTCTGGCAAGAAGGCCACCAGCATCCTGTGGCCAGCAGGACTGGGGCAGTGATGGTCCCCCTGGACTGGGCACTGGTGAGGCCCCACTTCGAGGGCTGGGTCCAGTTTTGGGCCCCTCACAATAAGGGGGTTGGAGGTGCTGGAGCGTGTCCAGAGAAAAGCAATGGAGCTGGTGAGGGGTCTGGAGACCAAGGAGAAGGGTCTGGAGAACTTCGGAGGAGCTGGGGGTGTTCAGCCTGGAGAAAAGGAGGCTGAGGGGAGACCTTCTGGCTCTCTACAACTCCCTGAAAGGAGGGTGTAGCTTCAAATGACATCTCTTCTCCCAAGGAACAGGAGATGGGACAAGAGGAAACAGCCTCAAGTTGCACCAGGGGAGATTTAGGATGGAGATTTGGGAAAATTTCTTCCCCAAAAATGTTGTGAAGCCTTGGCAGAGGCTGCCCAGGGCAGTGGTGGAGTCCCCATCCCTGGAGGGATTGAAAAGCCAGGCAGACGTGGTGCTGAGGGACATGGGTCAGTGGTGGGTTGGTCAGTGTTGGGTTGATGGTTGGACTCCATCATCTGAAAGGTCCCTCCCAACCCGTACAATTCCACGAACATCCAGACGTGGAAAGACATAAGACAGATGTCACAACTCTGGAAAATTTAAAGCTGGACCTTCTGGAGATCCCCCTCCACCCATGCATGGTCCAAACCCCCCACCAGCCCTTCCCTGTGAGGACGTGGGAGGGTGATGGTGCCAAACTGGGAGCTGCTCAGGTCCCCGTCCCGGCCACCCCACTCACCGGTCATGTTCTCATCCAGGGGCAGGGACATCCCCACGTCACAGATTTTGACAGTTTCAAAATCGCCTTTCACCACCACGTTGGAAGATTTGATATCACCGTGGAGCAGCTTCTTATCGTTGTGAAGATACTGAGAGGCAGAGAGGAGACATCCCGTTTGGGCAAGAAAACCCCCGATTCTTTCACGTTTTAACATATTTAACCCGAAAACTTCAAGGATGGGTCCATATCTACTTCAAGCCCTACAAAACACAAGGCAGGTTCTTCCCCCCAGCCTAATTTTGGAGGTTTTTGGTGAAATGCTGCGGGAGGTGGGTGGGAGGTGGCTGATGGCCAAGGACACAGCCACCACATTGTCCTCAGAGCGGCATCTCCTCGGCTGGGGCAGCCCATGCCCTGTGCCAAGGCTCAGAAACAGGGCTGGGGTTTAGACAGAGTCTCCATTTTCCTCCCTTTTTCCCTAAATTCAAGCTCAGCACGGTGAGAGGAGTCACTGCCAAGGGTGCCAGGGGCCAGCCTGGCTGGCTAGTGAGCAGGGACAGCAGGTAGCCCCAGGGGAGGGTGGCAGAACACCCGACAAAACCCGTTGCATCCCTTTTTATCTTACTTCAACCTCCAATTTTAGGGCTATTTTCACCCAAATCTGTACAATGCCCGGATACCCCGCAGCATCTTCTCCCCATGGCTCCTGGCCTCCTCAAACACCACCTTCATTTGTTTTTTCCAGGGTCACTGGTGGCTACGAGTCCACCCCGAAGGGCTACGGTGGAGGTGGGACGTACCTTCAGCCCCCTGGCCATGCTCAAGGCCACTTTGAAGATGGTGGCGGCGGGGAAAGGGCCCAACTTTTTTTCCTGTCTCTCTTCCAGTAAGTAACAGAGGGATTTTTCTCCTCCGTACTCCATGGCCAGGCACATGCTCCCGTCGTTGGCCTCGGTAAAGGCCCGGTAACCTGCCCAAAGAGAGGGGTTTGTTAGAGGTAAAGGAGACACCACCACGTCCAACGTGCCTGATGGAGCCAGAACTTCTGGGGCTCCCCTCTGAGGACTTTCCCTGGTGGCTCCAACCAAATCCACATCTCCAGGAACCCGGATCATGGCTTTATGTGGTGAGTTGAAGCCACTGGGATGTCCATGGAGACTTAGGTGGTCCTGAGCCACAAACCTTGTTGAGGGAAAGGAGCTCCAGCCCCCAGGGAGCTCAAAGACCCCCCCATACCTTTGCCCTCAGGTCAGGTTGGAGCCTGTGCTGGGGCAGGGAGAAGCTGGGAGGTTTCTCCTGATCTTCACAGGACAGAACCAGGAAAAAGGAGGGAGGGGAGCAGATCTGCAGGACCAAGACAGAATCATTTAGTGGTTTGGGTGGGAAGGGACCTTAAAACCCACCCAGTGCCACCTGCTTCAACCCCTCCAGGGATGGGGCAGCCACAGCTTCTCGGGCCAACCTGGGCCAGGCTCTCACCACCCTCCCACCAAACAAGTTCTTCCCCACAGCTCAGCTCCATCTCCCCTCTTGCAGGGTCCAACCCTTCCCCCTCCTCCTGGGGCTCCCCTCCCTCATCCAGAGTCCCTCCCCAGCTTTCCTGGAGCCCCCCTTCTTGAGGGACTGGCAGGGGCTCCAAGGTCTCCCCGGAGCCTTCTCTTCTCCAGGCTGAACCCCCCCAACTCTCTCAGCCCCCCCTCCCAGCAGAGGGGCTCCAGCCCTCCCAGCATCTCCGGGGCCTCCTCTGGCCCCATCCAACAGCTCCATGTCCTTCTGCTGTTGGTGGCCCCAGAGCTGGAGGCAGCACTGGGGGGGGTCTCCCCAGAGTGGAGCAGAGGGGCAGAATCCCCCCCTGGCCCTGCTGGGGATGCAGCCCAGGGGGCTTGCTGGGCTGCCAGCCCACGTTGCCAGCCCATGGCCAGCTTTTTGCCCCCCAGAACCTCCAAGTTCTTCTCCTCAGGGCTGCTCTCCATCCCTCCATCCCCTGGTTGCAAAGATAAGGAGCCGCAGAAGCCAGAAAAGGGCAGGGGTTGTTTGGGAAAGCCAAGCCCTCGTCTCACAAGGGTCACTGCAGAAGGTTAAGACCAACACACACATAAACCATCACTTGATCTTCCTCCACGTTCCTCTCCTGTCTGCAAGGAACACTTTCCAGGTGGAGTCAGAAAGGGCAAAATCTTGCATAACGGCAGAGCGAGAATCTTACCCAGTAAATGATTTACAGCACCTTTTACCAAAAAAAAAAAGCTGTGAAATGTTTGCAGCGTGAAAGGTCAAGACTCTCTTCAAGCCCTGCCTGAAGCAAGAGATGCCGGTTTTGGGGATACAACATTCTTTGCACGCAGAGTTTCTGGTCCCAGCGCCCACAGGGGGATGGTTTAAAACACAAATAAAAGGAAACTCAAACAAAGCTGCTGTTCTGGCCGGCGGGAAGGAATTTAGACAAGATAAGAGCAGAAATTAAACACAGACTGAAGCAGTTTCTCCAAATATTCCTACCACTGAGAGCCAAGAGTGTGACAGAGCCTCGATTGTCACTCACAAAGGTGTGTCACCGGGCTGGGAGTCCCACCAAAAAGGGGGTGACTCACTCAGATAATCACCACTTGGTGACTGCAACAGCCTGAACGGGCAACAAAGCACCAAGGGGCTGCAGCCACAAGGCAAATTTTGGGGTAAAACCCATCGCCTTAATCCTGGCACAGGTCCACCTGCTCCTGCAGATGCCACCAGCATCCTGGCCTGTATCAGCCATAGTGTGGCCAGCAGGACTGGGGCAGTGACCATCACCCTGGACTGGGCACTGGTGAGGCCCCACCTCGAGGGCTGTGTCCAGTTTTGGGCCTCTCACAATAAGAGGGTTGGAGGTGCTGGAGCGTGTCCAGAGAAGAGCAACGGAGCTGGTGAGGGGTCTGGAGACCAAGGAGAAGGGTCTGGAGAACCTCTGAGGAGCTGGGGGTGTTCAGCCTGGAGAAAAGGAGGCTGAGGGGAGACCTTCTCACTCTCTCCAGCTCCCTGAAAGGAGGGTGTAGCCAGGGGGGGTCGGGCTCTTCTCCCAAGGAGCAGGTGATGGGACAAGAGGAAACGGCCTCGAGTGTCACCAGGGGAGGTTTAGGATGGAGATTGGGAGAAATTTCTCCATGGAAAGGGCTGTGAAGCCTTGGCAGAGGCTGCCCAGGGCAGTGGTGGAGTCCCCATCCCTGGAGGGATCTCAAAGCCGGGCAGACGTGGTGCTGAGGGACATGGGTCAGTGGTGGGTTTGTCAGTGGTGGGTTGATGGTTCGAGTCCATCATCTGAAAGGTCCTTCCCAACCTGGACAATTCTATGATTCCCTCACCAGGAGCTCTCCCAAGCCCCCATCACACAGGTCAAGACTAAGTTAATTTATCAAGGTCCATGGTGGACCAAACTGAAGACCCAGCAGCCAAACACCAAAGGTCATGGCAACCACACTGTGTGTATCTTCCAAGAGCCAGACAGGGAGATCTGGAACCCAGAGAGGGCAGAGAAACCCTGTGACAACCTCGTGTCACCTCCCCTGGCTCCAGATCTGGTTCCACCATCTCCATCTGCAGTTTGTGACAGGGATGATGCCGGAAACTCACCCACGATGTTGGGATGCTGGAGGTTTTTCAAGATCTTGGCTTCTTCGTTCAGTCTCTGCTGGTAGATGCTTTGCTGGCTCTTGTTGCATTGGGAATTGACTTTCTTCACGGCCCACGGGGAGCGAGACAAACCCCTGGGAGATCTGCAGGGGGGAAAAAAACCCACACATCTCTCAATCCACACCCTGGTGACAGCTCACAGGGGTCCCCCAGGACCTATTCTGGAGAGTGCCTGCCTTTATTTTGAGAAATTAATAAAGAATAAGGCTAAAATAAAGGAAAATCAGCTCACGTGCACCGATGGAGAACATTTTGCCTCCACACGGCGCTCCTCCATCCAGTTTTCAAGCATTTTAGAAAAGGGGATTTAGAATCAATTCTGAATTTCAGGTGGAGGAGCCGAGGGTTGGGGAAAGGAAGCAGCAGGAGCCAGGAACGGAGCCCAAATCCCTGAATTCCAGGTCCAGGAAAAAGCTGATTATTATAGAAATTCCACTGTAAGAATCTGGCCACCCAGCTGGGACTCTGGGCAACCACGGCTGGACCTCGGACCCTCTCACCCCCAACCATCCAACCCCCGGCACGGGGTGAGTTCATCCAGGAAATCTGGAGGTGGGCACTGGGGGAGATGAATTGTTTAGCAGAAATGAGGAAGTTTTAAGTAGAATAAACTCTTTAGGCTTATAATTTGGTGTGATTTGTGCTGGAGCAGCTGGATTTGCTGAAACTTGTTCTTATTCACAATTTTCCCCGCAGATTCTAGGCTGTTGTTTAGTTTTTTAGCAGGGGAAGGTGCTGGATGTTTTGGGCGTGTTTCTCCCGAATCTGGGACTCTTGGGTTTCCCCACGTTCTTGCCAACAAGGGCAGGTGCAGAAGGAATGTAAACCGGGAGATACGGAGGCTCCAACCCTTGGCTGAAACTGCAAATCAACCAGGAAAAAAAAACAACACTTGGGCAAACGAAAAAGAATCTGAGAAGACCTTAAAAAACCCCGGACCAAAAATCACTGTTGGACTAAAATATGTGCATTTGGAAAGCACAAGGGTGTAATTACCTGGGGATTTCTTTGTTTGGGGTCCCCTCTTTTTGGAGGGACCCAGCTCGGGCTGTCCCTTCTAATTAAATTTAATTATTTTAGGAAATCCGATGCGGAAAAGTCGAGCCTGAAGGAGGAGGAAGAGCCCGGGAGTGAGTGTGTGTGTGTGAAGGCTCCGGCAGCAGCTCCTCCTTTAACAAAGGGAGACAAGCATTAAAATTCTATTAAATTCTAATTATTCTGAGTCCAAGAGGGCTCAAGTCCCACCTCGGCGGCGCTGGGATGGGTCCTTCTGGCCTGATCAGCACCAGGAGCTAAAATTTGGCATAAAGATACAGGGAATGGTCTAGAGAAGGGGACACCCTTGGCCACGACACTCAAAAATTGGAGGAAAATAGATATTGCAGCAAATCTAGCAAAAAAACCCAACCAACAAGCAATAAATTGTGCAAGAAGAACTCAGCAGCACTGAGGGGATGGCCCCATGAAGGATCCTTGGAATTAAAGATGTTTTTGCAGATGAAAAGCCTCAGTAAAGGGATTATTGTTATATATAGGGTACAGCATCGTGGGGAAATCAAATGCCTGGGTTAAGGGAAGAGTCGGGTCGATCTGCACCGTTATTTTGTTAATATTTGGGGTATAATCATTCCTGGGCGACATTAAACTGGTTTTCAGAGAGTTATTCTGTCCAGACAGAAAGATAATGGGGAAAAAAAAAGTGGGATTAACCCTACACGGAGGGGGAAATCAAACAGCCTGGCCTCAGGGTGCTCCTAATTGGGATTCTAATAATCAGCGAGATAATTGCCGGACAGCAGTTAGAAATATTGTGATTAGATTGGGGAGGTGAACAGGGGCACCAACAACTTATGGCACAGATTGTGAAGCTTTAAAAAGCCCTGGAAATGGAAATTCCCCTCTTTCCTCCCCTCCCTGCCCAGCTGAAGGGGCTCAGGCAGCACCTGACGGTGGGTGACGGCAGCGTTTTCATGCTCAGAGCTCAAATATTGTCCCTCCCCAGGGGAAAAAAAGACACCAAGCCCCATTCCCCAGCCCCACACGTACCTTTTCATCAGGTAGACGTTGACCCCGGTGCCGTACCCCAGCTTCTGCATGAAGGGAGAGGCTGGGATGGTGACAGAAACTGGTCCCCCCTCTGAAAGGAAGAGAGAAAGCCAAGAATGACTCCACGGCAACAGCTTTTCCCCAGGAGCTTTGATGCTCTGATCACAAATCACATTTTGTGGCTCTACCCCGTAGAAACCCAGTTCAGATTTTTAGACAAGCTCCTTTCCACAGCCCTTCTTCCCCCCAGTATCCTACCAAATTCTAAAGCCAGTCCCACCAAGCTGTCACCACCACCCTCCTTAGGTTTCTCACCCAGTTTCCCATTCCTTTTTTCAAGAGGAAATGGCCTCAAGTTGCCCCAGGGGAGGTTTAGGATGGAGATTGGGGAAAATTTCTCCATGGAAAGGGTTGTGAAGCCTTGGCAGAGGCTGCCCAGGGCAGTGGTGGAGTCCCCATCCCTGGAGGGATTTCAAAGCCGGGCAGACGTGGTGCTGAGGGACACGGGCCTTTCCTGCTTCTCCCCAGCAAGGAGCTGGGAGGGGACACAGAAGGGACAACTGGCCCAAGGGACATCCCAGGCCATTTGATGTCCTGCTCAGCAATAAAACGGGGGAGGAGGAGGAGGAGGAAGGGGGGGATGTTGGGAGTGACAGCGTTTGTGTTCCCAAGTCACTGCTACTGGGGATGGGGAAGGGAAGGGGATGGGGAAGGGGATGGGAAGGGAATGGGATGGGATGGGGAAAAGAAAGGGACAGGGAAGGGAAAGGGATGGGGAAAAGAAAGGGACAGGAAGGGAAAGGGATGGGGAAGGGAAAGGGATGGAGATGGGGATGGAGAAGGGGAAGGGGATGGAAAAGAAAAGGGAAGGGGAATGGGGAAAGGAAGGGGATATTTTAGGTTGGAAGGGTCCCTTACAGGTCATCTAGCCCAACCCCCCCAAAAATCCATCACGCTTCACGACTGCATGTGGCAAAGACGACACCTGCTGATGGGAAGCAGGGAGTGAATTCCCGAGTGGTTTGGGTTTGTGGGGGCAGCTTTTCCTCACACCTCAAACCCGTTTTGTATCAATTCAGGAGTTTTCTCACTTTTACCTTTCAGCTTCTGACCCCCCATCCTGCCGGGGTGCTGAGCTCCCTCAGGAGGGTGGAACCCCGAACACCCATCGCCCCCCACTCTGCCCCCAGCAAAGCTTTCCCTCTTTTTTCCTTCCCTTTATTTAATTTATTTAATATTTAGGGCTGAGGCCTGAACTCCACTCACCAGGTTTCTCCCTGGGGGCCGGTCTTTTTGGAGACTTGAAGGCTTCCATGGCTGCAAACCCTACAGCGGAGGAGAGACTTTATTACTACATTTTTATTATTATATTTTAGACTTTATTACACCTTCACCCCCGAAATTACCGGGAGGGACCGCTCCGGAGGGCCTCGGAGCAGGAAGCTCCAGCCCTACCCCGCGCAGGGGCGCTGCAGGTACCACCAAAATATATTAAAGGACATAAATCACAATAAATTAGCAGGGTCCCATCTCTGGGGTGACGAGGGGGATCCCAGTTGGGGGAGCAGGAGAGGACTCCCAGGTGCCAAATATGGGGGTAGGGGTGTCCCAGGTTGGGAAGGGGGGGCAGAAGAGGACTCTGAGGTCCTGGGGTGATGAGGGGGTTCCCAGTTAGGGGAGCAGGAGAGGACCCTGGGTGCCACTTCTTGTGGGCTGGGGGGGTGGGCAGAAGAGGACACTTGGGTGCCAAATATGAGGGTAGGGGTGTCCCAGATTGGGAAA